ACAGAAATCTGTGAGTATTGCAAAAGAGACTGAAAAGACCCGAAATTAGATGGATCAAGATTCCTCAGGGTCAGGGCTGAACTGTGACAAGTGTTCACACTTTCACTTGAGCTCCTTAAAGAAGGACCCACCACTAACTCATGCCTAAGAGGGGAATCTGCAGCATGAGATGACAAACACGCATTATTGACCAGTAAAGGATTCATACAAGAAGCAGCAGAAGGCTGATGCTGTTGGCTTTCCACCAGATAGGTACAATTCTTGTTCCTTCTTTCTGAATAGTAATGGTGAACAGTGGGTATTGAGCAGCTACCAGCTGCCTTTGCTTCCTGATGGTGTTGTTGAGGAAAGTCAATATTCTCACTCCTTCTCCTTTCCAAAACACAAGCCTCAAGGTGGAAGTGCCTCTGGGGGAGATACAGCAGGGAGCACTGATGAAGCAAGATGGGGAATATGAACTAGACACTTAGAGCTGTGCTGCTGCAGCCTAGATTATTCTGCTGCAGCAAGCAGGAACTGGAGAACTGACTGGCAGTGTCTGGGAATGGCTGAGAAGGGCAGGAGAGATTAGTCTGTCTTCAGACTGGGATCTCTTCCCATCTGACAGAGGTGTGGTATACAGCTAGCACTGTGCTGCTGTCTCTGGGCTTATACCAAGTGCTGCAGCCTCAGGCCAGGGATGAGAAATGTCTACTCAACTTCTAGTGCCCAAACACAGATTGCAATCCACATTCTTCTGAATGTTTCTTTGCTCTGAAGAAAAACAAGAAGAAACATAAGCAAAGGACCGTGAGTATTTCCTATCTCATCTTGCCTAGTTTGCCAAAGCCTTCGGGTACTTTCCTCATTAATTTCTTGTCTCTGATCCACCAGCCTCAGTCCTGAAAGTGTTATGGACATTACTCTCTTCCTGTTTTTCAGCAGACAATCGTATCTGGCAGAGCAGGAATGAATGAAAAGGACAGATTCAGTTCTCAACAAAAAACCTGGAAAAACAAAGACTTCCAGCATTACACACGTGCAGCCTCAGGAGTCTGTTGCTAGCAAGGCTGAATTATCCCAAATTCAAGTCTACACAGACTTATTTCTTTTTGTCTGCACTAAAGGATGAAACCATGTTTACGTATCCCTAAAAGCCACACTGTCCCCTAATCTGGAAGATTTAGCATAGCTGGGAGACCTACTTTGCAGTCTAGCCACTAAGTCTGATGGTTATACATATAACACTCATGCTGAAAATGGATTCTTAAGTTGCTGCTAACAGGCAAGTGCAAATTGAGAGGACTGTGGTTCCATTCCCTCAGATTTTAAAAGCAAGTTGTCAATCACTGTCATTCTAACCACTGTTCTTTTCCACCTCTCTTTTAAAATATGAAAATGGTATTGTATAAAGACAGACACATCTCTATCATCTTAAAACCCCCTAGTCAATCTGAGAAGAGACAGCAATGAAATCAATGCCCATTGTCTTTTTCAAACACTCTCTAATTCCAGAAAGCCTTCTGCCAAATTGCACTTTCTAAGCTGTGTTTATCGCATTCTCTTCTACCAGAACATTTGAGTCTCAGTTGTCCCTGTTTGTAACAGCTCATTTTTCCTTCTCACATGCAAACTCCTTCAGTAATCACCGCAATCTGGGGAGCAAACACAGTTTCTAAAGCAGCAGGAGACAGCCAGGCGGTGCTGCAATTATCCCTGGGAACTGCTGTTACTGCCTTTCATAGATCACCGAGGGTGCCATGAACGGAAAGATCCCATTATTTTTTCCAGATCAGTTGAAGTTGGCAACTACAGAGAGAACAGACAAAGCACAGCTGCCTTCCTTGGGGTGCTTATCACTGCATGAAGTATAACCACAAAAATGCAGTAGGCTGGTGTTCCATGGAAGCACTCCTTGCATCCCAGAAATATCCAATCAACAAGCAATGTATCACAAAAGGGTGTTACAAAGGATTTAAATCGCAGAAGGACATAAACCCACCATGCTTTTCAGTGTTGATTTGCTCTGTGAATACCCAAAACCTGGCTCTGGACTACCTTATGCTCAAGAATCTGGACGTAATCTATTTTCTTGATAATTTGTGATTTTTTTTGGCTCTCCGTTTCAATTCTTTGTGCTAAGTACCAGGTTCTCAACACATCACCGTGGTTATTTCAGGTGGTGTCCTTCACCCCACTCATTCCTAATTTCAGTCTCATTGAGATCTGGAAGAAATAGTATCCTTTCAAAATCACATTTGTCTGCCTTCTGAAATTGCAACGCAGATCTCTAACATAACTTTTAAGCAGTAGGGTTAGTCAGTCACAACAAGATCTTACGAAGATCTTTTTTAAAATTTCTTCTGAGGCCAAAAGATACTCAAGGCAAACTGCACATTTTATGAACTGTGAGATCTACTTTTATGCCAAATCCATGACCAATGGATTTTATACTAGTTTTTATGATTCCAATTAAAACATTTAATGCATGCTTACTATATAGACACTTTGCAGCAACACACTAATGCATTAAAACCTGAAACAAATTCAATTAAGCAAATAAAAATTAAGATGATCAAGTTATTTCTGTTGTTATAAGCAAAAGGAAATAAACAGCACAATTAATGAAAAGTACATCAAGCTCTTTCAAGCAAATACTATTTCAGCAATACGGTAACAACGCCAGACCCATAATACACTCATTTGTGCTGCACACACAGTGCTTATTTCCCAATCCCTGTAGATCACGGCTGATCCATTTCATATTCCAAGTAGGGGCTATTACTCTGAGATCATACTTCAGCTGCCTTAAGAAGCAGGATTTTTTCCAAACACTGCTGAGATCACACTTCAGCTGCCTTAAAAAGCAGGATTTTTCCAAACATTGCTCAGCATTACAAACCAAACCAACCATTACTGCCATCACACGATGCCTGTGTTAGTGTTCGGGAACACACAAAAATCACAGGATATGATTCTATGCAGGTGCTTTTATTGAGAGCTCTGGGAATCAGGGGTACAGACCCAAATCTGACTCCGACATGGCATTCGAGCTGAATGTATTTTATATTCTATCGTTATATAACTTACATATTCACTATTAAACTTATATTGTTCTATTGTATACATTGACATGAGTGTCTCATGATCTTTCTTAGGCCCCTGACCACAGTTTCTCATGATTATTCTTACGGTTAAACAGTAATTATATTTAATTACTAAACAATTATATCATTTATCATGTACTAGCTACACAGGTGCAGTTCTAGCAAGGTACAAGGCCTTCATGTACCTAGGGTATTTATTTTTCTTTTCAGGGCCTACTAAGCTTAATTTTCCTTTTAACCCTAAATCCCTATGATTTTAAAACCCTTTTACTGTTTTTTAAAACCCTTACCTGTGAGACCAACAGGCACGCACACTGGCCTTCCCTCCTCAGCGCTGCCACCCAAGTATGCCAGGGTCCCAGGATGCAGCAGAGGGACCGAGAAACTCCTCACCCACGGCCGAGGTTCCGTTCACCCACGGCCGAGGTTCCGTTCACCCACGGCCGAGGCTCCATTCACCCATGGCCGAGGCTCCGTTCACCCACAGCCAAGGCTCCGTTCACCCATGGCCAAGGCTCCGTTCACCCACGGCCGAGGTTCTGTTCACCCACAGCCAAGGCTCCGTTCACCCATGGCCGAGGCTCCGTTCACCCATGGCCGAGGTTCCGTTCACCCACGGCCGAGGCTCTGTTCACCCACGGCCGAGGCTCTGTTCACCCACGGCCGAGGTTCCGTTCACCCACGGCCGAGGCTCCTCTCACCCATGGCCAAGGCTCCACTCACCCACGGCCGAGGCTCCGTTCACCCACGGCCAAGGCTCCGTTCACCCATGGCCAAGGCTCCGTTCACCCACGGCCGAGGCTCCGTTCACCCACGGCTGAGGCTCCACTCACCCATGGCCGAGGCTCCGTTCACCCACGGCCGAGGCTCCTCTCACCCATGGCCGAGGTTCCTCTCACCCACACCCGAGGCTCCGTTCACCCACGGCCGAGGCTCCGTTCACCCACGGCCGAGGCTCCGTTCACCCACAGCCAAGGCTCCGTTTACCCACGGCCGAGGCTCCGTTCACCCACAGCCAAGGCTCCACTCACCCACGGCCGAGGCTCCGTTCACCCACGGCCGAGGCTCCTCTCACCCACGCCCGAGGTTCCTCTCACCCACGGCCGAGGCTCCTCTCACCCATGGCTGAGGCTCCACTCACCCACGGCCGAGGCTCCTCTCACCCATGGCCGAGGCTCCGTTCACCCACACCCAAGGCTCCTCTCACCCACGCCCGAGGCTCCTCTCACCCACACCCAAGGCTGTGTTCACCCACCGCGAGAGGCGCCGGCCGGGCCCCGGGGACTGACCGCACGCGTCTGAGCCGCCCTTCCTCCGTGGCACAGCCACCCTCGGCCCCTCAGCGCCCGCTCCAGCTGGGGCTCCATAAGCAGCTTATCCCCACGATTACCTCGGTGACCGGGGCTACAGATGGCCGGGGAAAGCTGCTCTGGGCCATGGCTAATTAAAGCCGGGGAGAGGGGGGCTCATGCCGGGTGGGAGCCATGCCTGTCCTGGGCAGTGCCTCAGGGCAGCGCCTCAGGACAGCCGCCACATCTTCCTCTTCACCCTCCTCCCCAGCCAGAACCCAAAACCCACCAGCGCTGAGGGAGCACCTGCCCTGGGCGGGCTAGACTGAATCCTATGGAGCTGCCCGCTCACTACCAAAACTCCGGGCACGGCAGGACTCAAGAATTTAAAAAACAAAGCAAAACCAGCTGAATGCAGCATTGCGCCTCTCTGGCTGAGGAGATCTCACTGAGAGCCACCATGGAGCCAGCAAGGCCATGCTCTGGCACAGCAGCTCCATGAATCCCCTCACGCCCTCCTGAACCACATATAAACACTCTTCCTCCTCAGCCAGGAGAGGGGTCTGTGGATATTTTCAGTTCAGTCAGAGAGAAAAAACAGGGTTTCTAACCAGGCAGGAAACAGTTGGGAAAGAATGTAAATAATTCTTTATCTCTCTTGTTGATCACATTGTTTATAAATAAGTTCTGCCACTGAGCGTTATTCACTGCACACCAATGGGGTAAGATGTTTTTACTCTGTGACCAATGAAATTGGTCTGGACAATGCTCTCTATAAAATACTCTATAAAGTATTTGAAATAAATCAGAGTTTTACTCTCTAGCCTTCTGAACTGGAGTTCTTACATACCATCCTGCCTCAATGGCATCAGGGGTCTGTTTTTATCATCACCTCTGATTTACTGCCCAAAATAGGTATCCTTGAGGCACTGTAAGATCAGTGTTACTTGTGCCTTGCTCTGCTTCTCAGAGCTCCCAAATGTACAAAATTTTCCACAGAAAAATGCATGGCAGGTCAGCTAGATGGGTATTTCCAATGTATAACATCTGGGAAGGCCTCCCTAGATATAACTGACTGTGCCAACACCCACACCCCACAGCATTAAAAGCAGTGATTTTCAGTCTGTGGTCCATGAGTCTAGGTAAAAAAATCCCCTGAGCATTTAAACATCTTATTCAGGGCTCTGTGCTGTCACTGTACAGTTCTAAAGAGCTGAAAAACCCATTCACATAAAGGCTCTGGAACTCCACAAGCCCCAGCAATTTCTGCCTACTCTTTCCTTCTTTGCCATCTAATCACAAGAACAGACCAATTCCTATTCTTGTGCCCTATTATGTGCAAAGCCTGTAAAAAGAATGTACAAGACTTCTATGGCATTTACCATGTACTTGGTTCAGGTACACCAATGTAGTGCTTGTGCAGCAGAGTAGAGGAAGCATCTGCTTACGTTTGAGGTGATCAAAGTTGGGAGAAAACTACTTGGTTTTAAAAATACAAATGGCATGCTTCTGGAGGTTAAAGCAAAGTCAACAGGGGTCTTGGTTACTGAAGAATCAACACAGCAGAAGGTCTTGTCCAGAGAAATGCAGTTGTAAAATCACAGATGTAAACTTTGACAATGAACTTGCTTCAGAAAAATACCTATCTTCTTAGCCCTAGAATTCTGCCAAAGCCATCACACTCATTTTCTTCTGTAAATGAATTTGGTTGAAATTTGGTTGTTTGCTTGCTTCTGGGGTTTTGTTTGGTTGGTTTTCTTTTTTTACAATCTTACCTGAAAGCCATGACAGATTTATATCCTGCATAACAAGAGTCTACAGTCTGTCACACCCAATGGAACTCACATCTACAATGTAAGTAAGTCCATCTTTCCTCAATCCACATTTTACTAGCCTATCTTCCCACCCATGCAATTATATGCAGAATCTTCTACTATCCAGAGTAAAGCTTAGGCTAAAAGCCATCAGAGCCCTGTAGACCTTCCCCCATAATGACCCTCCCAGACTGCCTGGCTACAGTCCCAAGCCCTCAGGAAAAGCTACATTTTCAAATGAGACATAAGTGACCAGCGTAACTTTTTCTAACACAGAAAAACTGTGTTCATTTTATAGTTTTCTTAGAAAAATGTAACATTTCAAGTTCTGTTATGACAAGCAGCTGAAGGCAAAAGGATTTTTCAAGGCACAAAGGCACTACATTCAACAGTCATTTTAAGTATCCTGAAGGACATTCAACTTGCGTAAAAGCATCAGTTAATGAAACCCAATACCAGATACTGGGAGCACAAGAAGTTAAATAATGCCATCAAAAACAGCTCTTGAGAACTCCTAGATGTTTCCTGGAAATATATCTGCATAAAATCAGGCTACACTGTATTGTTTTAGGGCAGTCCATAAGCCTTTTAAAGATTGCTTGTCCAGGAGTACTTTGAGTGGTTCTTTTATAAAGAAGAGGAGGCACAATGGAAGATTGGATGACTGCAGAAAGTGCATCCAGTCACATGTACAGAGGAGGGATTTAGAGGAGGGAAGAAAGGAGAGTACTGGGATTACACAGTGCTTAACATGACACCTCCAAGATCTTCTGGACTTACTGCAGAACCCATCTGCCTAGCCTTCAGGTAGGCAAAAGAAATATCAGATCTTCTCCTATCTTCCCAGGAGCAGGTGCTGCTCAATGGGAAGAGTGGAAAGCTTAGCTGGGCAGGAGCAGTGTCTGTCCTGGGCTGCAGGGTGCCTCAGTAGGGCGGCTGGGCTGCCTTGCTTGAGGAAGGCCACTGTGGAGGCGTGTCTGGCTGATCAATGGGCTCGTAGGTGCTGTGGTCCTGGCCTCCACTGGTGACACCTGAGTGGAGATGGAAGAGAACAAGCTTGGGACAAAGGCAGAAGCACAAGGACTGAATGCTCTAGAAGAAAGTGTACAGCAACTCAGGAGGACACATTTTACCAGCTCCCAGCACCTGTGGTCTGTGATCTTCACTAAACAGGGAGGAGGTAAGAAAAGTCATCCTCCAACACACCCATTCTTTCCTTGAGAACTGGTCTCTTAGTAGCCACACAGCTGTGTGGAAAGCAATACCCACAATACCCCATAGCAGCACAACAGGTTCCTGTAACAGTGTATTTCAGCAAGATAAAGTGTATGAGAACTCACTGAAAAATAAACAGACAGAGCCAGAAGCTGCAGGAACTGTGGCTAGCTGACAGCATAGATTTAAAGGAATGATACATCCATGAACCCCACTTCCCAAAAATGCAGCTATGCCTCAAGTGTGGCACAAATTTGAGTCCAGTGGTGCTCCTAACTGCACTATGAACAATTTGTCTGTGCAAAATCATGTTACTGTCCAGCGAATGAGCAGGGAAAGAGGAGGGAGAGAATGTCCATGGACAGCTCTTTGTCTATGGGCCAGGCATTTGCCATGGGGAGAAAGCAACCTGAATCACCAGACTATGAGGGATTTGTTCTAAGCAGTAAGGATGCTCCCAGGCAACAAAGAGGGACTTAGTGTTGATGGAAAACAACACAGAAAAGGCCAGAAAAATTTCAACACTGCTGGGTTCAAAAGAAAATGCCAGATAGAAGGAAAATAAGAGGAAATTTGTCAAGCACATTAATCATAAAGCAACACACAGTACTGACAATCTTGTAAGAAAGACAGTTCAAGAGGATATGAAACTACAAAGTGTCTTAATTCCCACCTGTGTCTGAGAGGAGACTTGGTTTGGGATAGTGTGGTTGAAAAGAAGTGCTGCCAAATTCCAAGCCGAGATGAACTCCTCAATGATACCAATACTTTCTATACATGTGTTGAATCCCAATGACAAGCACAGTGAGCAGCTAATAAAAACTGACACCAAAAAGGCACTGCAGGTGACTCACATGCCTCCTGACCCAGGTAAGACATATCCATCTGGATTTTCACAAGTAGCTGGCAGAGACAACATCCACACTCCACTAGCAGAGAGGTGCAAATACCACACAGTGCCCTAAGCCATGGTTTCATTCCATGGCTTCTCCTCCTCTGCAGGCTTCCACCTCTTTTCACAGGAGTGTGATCTTTGCTACCACCAAAGCAGAATAAGAGACAGCTTCCAGACACTGTAATGCAGGTACACCATCTTTTGTCCTGCACAGCCTTCTTAAGATGACAAACAGAACTGTGACAGGCTGCAGGTTTTGCCAGCATGAATTCAAACAAAAATCCCTGGCAAACAATTAATCCCTGGCAGCTGCTCAGGCATGAACTAGTACCAGGAATGCTTGGCAAATCTGACCAGTACCCAGAACCACCTAGCCACAGCCCATCCTCTCTGGCAAATCTTCCACATTATCACTTTCAAATACAACCAGGGGAAGAATTAAATGTCTCCAAACTAACTCCTATCAGGTAAACATTAGTCCCATTTTCCATGTGAGGAACAAAGTCCAAAGCAATCAGGGTAAATAGGACATGTAATGCCCACATGGAATTAGAAATCCAGCTTTATTTCCTTCTTGTTCATGATCCAGCCAGAGGAAATATTGCCTCTACTTTCCCCCAGAAGGAAGAAAGGACACCCAAAAGTTTCAAACACACACACACAAATGCCAGAGAGGGAAGGAAAGGAAGGAAAGGAAGGAAAGGAAGGAAAGGAAGGAAAGGAAGGAAAGGAAGGAAAGGAAGGAAAGGAAGGAAAGGAAGGAAAGGAAG